GGCTCTGGACGATTGGACCCGCCCACGAGACCCCCCCGCCCCCTTCCGGATCCGTTCCGGGAGCTTCTTCCGCCCGACGTTCCCTTTGCCTTCTAGGAGGAAATGACGGAGAGAGCCGGGCTCTGGTTGGTGAGCGCTGGCTGAGAGCGGAAGCTGGGGCTTTGCAGCCCGGAGCTTTTGGCCCTGGTCACTTCAGCCTCCGAAGAGTTTGACTTGTCTTAACCCGCTGCGTCCCCGTTGCTGGTTGTCCGGAGATGTCGCTCGGCCGCCTTCTACAAGGCGCTTAACCCTCCCCGGCCGCCGCCCGGATGGGACCGCCGGAGTGCTGTGAGTGGCGGGACGGAGGCCAGAGGGAGGACGGAGAGTAGAGGGCCGGGGATGCGGCCGGAGGGGCACGGGACTTGGCCGGGGCAGGGAGGGGTTAGCTCTGTCCGTTCTCTGGAAGAATGAGCCTGGCGCTACTTCCCCGGCTGTTAGTTGGGCTCTCTTCCGGGGCGCTGTCAGGGACGCAGTGTCAACGAGAAGAGAGGGTAGGCAGACCCGGGCACAAGGGACAGGGGTGCAGTAGCCTAGAAAGCGCGTGCCCTGGGGTGCAGGTGAAATAGGGCGGCCAGGAGCCCTGCCGGTTGCAGACAGAGTCAAGTTCACGTAGCCGCCTTTGTGAACTGGGCGTTCCACGAACCGAGAGCAGCTTGGGTCAGCGTGGGTAGACGTTGAGCCCAGGATGCTGAGTTGTCTGGGACCCCTCAATCCCTGGAGTGACATTGGCCTGGCTTTGTGTTTCCGTTCTTCGGCCGCTTGAGGGGGAAGTGACCAGAGCTGGCTCCTCCTTGTTTGCTGACTGAGGCTTAGGTGCTCTGTCACCAGGTGGGAATTAGCTTTTCTCTCTTGAGATTCTGCCTGCTTTTATTCTTGGGCTGTATAGAGATGTTTAGAAATAAATTCTGATGTCTATAGATATGCAAACGTAAAGCTAACATAGCTATACAAAAGAAGTAAGCTCCTGCTATCGCTTATAAGACATTTGCAACTAGACTAGAAATTAGACTTTTCGTCTGCATTGTTTTCTTCAGACGTTTGTTGACTTTTTAAAGAGATACTCAGCTAATCTTCCACAGGCAAGAAAAGTGCGATACTAGAGAATGCACGTGACGAGACGGTGGATAGCTGTAATGGCCTACGTCTTTGGAAACAAGATTACTGTGGCTTTGTTGAATGAGAAGGGAAGAAATTGTGGCAACAGACTTATTTCAAGAGGTTTGGTCGGGAAGGGAGCATTTGGGTCGTATGGTTAGTATCTCCTATAGGTGCTGTGCGTTAATTATAGGGAGAAAACTGTGTGCTTTAGTAGAAAACTTCATAGTTTAGATTCTGTCTAAATGATACCTCTTGCATTATATGATTCTAAGGAAGCTATTTTACAACTATGTAAACTGTGGGTAACTGGCATCGATGCTAAGTAATTTTTGTCTATAGATATGCAAATTCCCTCCTGTGTCTGAGAGGTTCAGTAGTTTTGCCTCCTTTTGCATACTCATATCAATATTTCTGATCTATTAATGAGTCTAATTCTGGGATTCCCTTTATCTACTATCTGCCTGGTTCCCTTTTGAGTTAAATAAAATCTTGAATACATGTTCATATTTAAATTTGAATGAGTCATGATTTTACCGTTTTCTAAAAAAAATAAAAATAAAAAAAAAATCTCTTAACATTATTTAATATTATGGGAAGGGACAACCACAAATGGAAAAAGTAATTTTAATAAGAGTTGGTATCAGAACAACTGTGAGTGAGTGCTAAGATA